CGGAAAACTTTTGTTCCTTTTTTGCACCTAAGGTTGCGTTTTCAAATTCATCCGGCATAGTGTGGACGAGGCCTTAGTAATAAATAAAATCATCCTTCTTATTTGAAATTGTGATAGCCTCTGTTAAATGAAAATTGGAGAATACCTTTGGAAAGCTTTCCTAAGATTTTTCTAAACTCTTCGATCTTTACTAACATTCGAAAATTTAACTTCCTTATTTATAAAATTCCAAATATTAGGACCCCTGTATCGAAAAGAACTCTACTAATTCAGACTTTTACCTTAATAATATTAAGTTTATTAATGAATCTAGTCGATCTAGATGATTTAGAGAACATGTTCAGAAGTTAGCTAGGAGCAGTCCCTATGGGGATTTGGTATATCGTAAGTAATATGCGTCTCTTATATAAATAGTTACTAGTAAGCCAGTTACATCGAGACAGACATAGACTACTTTCTAATGAGTAAGGGAGATGATTAATTATGCAACGTGCTCGGGCATGAGTATAATCAAGGCTGTTACGCAATGGTTGGGAGCAATTTCTCCACACTAGTAAGTCCATAAGTGACACTAGGAATAATTTTTTTAAAATATATTTCTTCTAGAACTGACATAGGTAAGTATGACATTATCCTTGAAGCACCAACTTTTTCGGAAAATGAAGTTTTAACTCTGTCCACTCGAGCATGCCAAGAGAGTTGGTCATGAATATAACACCTAGACAGGTTGTAGAATTGACCAGATTTTTGTTAAGGACACTAGCCAAAAGGCTCATTTTTTGATTGATTATTGATTGGTTCACTAATTTCAGAATGATCTTAGATACGTACATAGTTACAATGTTTATCTGTTTTTCGGTATTTCTACTGGTTTTGTAATTGGACCTTTCAGCGTCACCACACGCATATAAAAGACAAGTTTAGCGTCCCTTTAATCAGTTCTTAGTAAGTTTTGAATAATCTTGGTAAACTTTCGCCCTTTGGTTTTCTCAACCTCTGGCACAAGCGGGACCGATATGTGAGTACCCTTGTAACTTTTTTTTTCTAGTCTTGTCTTTTCAGTGTCGGGCGACAATATACAAACAGATGTTCCGTGATATTGCCGTATTCTCTATTGATTTAACATTTAAAGGCCAAATTCGTGCCTAATGCGGGTGAATTTAGATAAGAACAATGGGCTGTTAACCAGCCATCAAAATTCTTTTGATTTGTATCTGAACTTTTGTTCTCAGTTTTATTTGTATTGTTAATCTCGCTATCGACGTTGGGGCCCGGTTTTTTACACGCGATTATTTGATTATGTATTCCGCGACATTTCATTAGATTGATAGAACTTCGTTGTATTGTTGTTTCAGTTTACGATCGATAGATTGATTGATTGTGAGATTGATCGTGATTTTCATCGTTGATTGTGGTTTGTGGTCAATTTCCTTTCAAGAATAAAGATTCCTGCAAACAGTCAACTTTGTTTTGTTACCTCGATCTGTTAAGTAGTCCCCGAACACTTGTTAACTGCGTTTTGGAGCGACGCCCCCTTGAACTTGAGAATTTAGATTTTTGGTCGCCGCAAACGCTACAGTTTTAGATGGGCGGATTGACAATTTGTTTAAAAAACTCCACTAGAATATCTGTGCCATTAGGCCATTTTAGAGATAAAATAAGATGTTCAACATTTGAACCAATGAGTACTGGTAAATTGGTAAAGACTTTATGAGCAAACAAACGAACAGCTGAACGCTCTCTCGTCTTGTATTAGATTTTAAACGAAGACTTACTTTAGAAGACTCAAGGTTAGAAATTTGGGTAATGTTACTTGGGGTACATCAACTAATATTTCTCAGCTTTAGCTGGGGTATATTCGGTCGCGTAATGTATTTAGACGAATCGCTCGTCAGCAGAAATATTTGATGGATAGATTATTGCGGAATGAAATGGGTTCTTACGAGAACGTAAAGGTCATCATGAAGTGAAAAAAATATGACGAGAATAAAGATACTGTCACGTGAAAAAATACATTACCACATGAGAAAGGAAATCAAGCACAATAATGATTAATGAATTTGAATAATCATATATGTGTACAGCTGCGGTTTCATGAAATGTATGAAAGCGATCCTCATAGTAATGAAACCTACTTATGTAGTAATGGAAATAAGGCCTGAAAAAAATTTAGGCCCGTACGGAATTTGAACCCATGACCGCTGCGATACTGTTGCAGTGCTCTACCAACGCATTAAATCCGTGGAAGTGATAAATCAATGAATTCGAATGTATGAAAATGATGATGAAATACACCTTTTGCTGTTTATTTACGCAAAATAGACATTCACTTACGACAACAGTTGAAACTATACCGCAAATACAGCTTAATTGGCGTATTAGAGACATACAATGATCCAATTTGCATAGAGACGCACAAGCAATTTCACCCTCTCACAATCGTTTATTCGAAATGGTCAATCATTAACGTGAACTGACAAACATGGCTATAGTTAGCAATATACCTCTCAGCCAGTCAATTGTCCAGTTGAGCAAACTCAAGGAAAACAGCTGAATGAAGGGGGTAAGTTTCTATAGAGACTCTAGTATTGCGTCGATGGGAGTTGATAACGTACTTGACAATGTGCTCTGACAAAGGGCTATCACACGAGACGTCAGCTTTGATACTCTTTACGGTGGCCGAGATACACCTTTTGCTGATCATTACGAGAAAATACGCATTCGTTTGCGTGAAAAGGCGAACGATTGCGTGCAAATACATTTATTAACGACATAAAACGAGTATTTTCGCGTAAATCATATTCGGTGACAAATTTGCATTTTAATCAGAATTCAAGAACAATTTCGGGCATTCTTATGCGTCATTCGTCAAACAAAAGAGAAAAACACACTTTCATTTGCGCTAACATTCAAGTCATTTACTCCATCTTGAAAGTCAATAGGGACAAACAGTACAGCGCATAAACCATTCATCGACATTTATATCACACTGTTTGCAATTCAATAGCATTCCTGGACGGCATTAGTGTGAATGCCCAAAATTGTTATTGAATGCTGATTAAAATGCAAAAATCGGTAATAAATCTGATTTACGTGTAAATGATGTATTCTTTATTGTCTCTAATGATTGTATTTTCACGCAATCGTTCGCCCCTTAACGCAAATGAATGAGTAGTCTCGTAATGAACAGCAAAAGATGTACATCATCAATTAAGTTGTTGAAACCAAAATCATAAAAGAAAACAGCACCCAGGTACTGTGAAGCACCCTTTTCAGAGTTGATTTACAATCGAATGTCCTCTACAGAACTGTGACTAGGTTCGCAAAATGCATGACATTGAAAATATTTTTGTCATAATTTTAGAATCACCCCACACACAGGATTTACATCATAAATTTCCTTTATGTCACTACCACGCCTAGCTTCAAAATCATAAGAATTTCCTGCTATTGTTCGATTCCTTATAACAGAAATACAGTTCGTTTAATTTAGTAGTTCAAAGTGTCAAGACCTGCACTTATAAGGTAATGACCTCTTGGTCAAGAAAAGTAACTCCAGTGTGACCTAAAGATTTAGTATGTCACATTTGTTATTTTGTCTACCGTTTACCTTAAGGTAATGACCTCTTGGTCAAGAAAAGTAACTCCAGTGTGACCTAAAGATTTAGTATGTCACATTTGTTATTTTGTTTACCGTCTACCTTAGAACCTTTGACAATAGCATGATACGACCAAAAGGCCAACAATAAATCTCAAACCGAGGCACATTAGCTTCCAAACGCTAAGTATGTGAAATAGATTTAAGGGTGGCTGACACCCTTAAATCTATTTCACATAGTAATTCACTTCTATTTTATCGAAGAATTAGGGTGGTTATGAATTATTAGTGCACAGTACTGCAAAAAGCTGTCGTGTTTCTATGGTAGAAATTTCAAAAAATTATGTCATCTCATTAGGAAATAATTAAGTATCCGCCGTGTAACGTAACTAATGATAAAACAAAAAAATGCTATGTTATCAATTCATCATGACTCGGTTTTTGAAAAACAATGATTGAGTAAGTAACGAAACCATTTAAGCCATCTGAACTTAATCTGGATACGAAAGCAAAACCCTGATGAAATAGACAAATGCCAAGAGAAATAAGCTGTTTCGCAAACGAAAAGATCACTTTTCGAAAATTGTTTTATGCTTGCATATCCTGTCTCCGTAAGCGGTGCAAAAGGGAAGTATTCGTGAGTACTTACTGACAAGGGATAAGAACAGTTTTCCATGGAGTCTTTATAATTTCCAAAAAAATATTGCATTTCTTGCCAATGATTTCGCAGTGATGACAAGGGCGATAAGCATAGATATGAAGATGGCATTTACCATCATATAGGCATCCAGGCAAATGATTATGCGGAACTGGAAAATTTCGATTTTATTGAGAAATAACAATCGAACTGACAGTGTGAGTAACTCAGAAGACGGTATATTTTTATCATTATGGAACAGTCTTACACCGTCTGACAAAGGACTACCGCTCGAAACATCAGGTGGCGAATTTACAGTATGAACTCAAGTGATACAACTAAATTATCTTAGAACGTAATTACTATTTGAGTTATTCTTCTCCGCCATGGCTAATACAATTAATGATTTGCATCTTTGATAATGTTTTATAACGTGTTGTTCACTAAAATTATGTCACTTCCTTTATATCTAGTACACGTAAGTAATAACTCTAAAAAATCATTACATTTTCAAGTGAGAGCGAAGGGTAAGAAAATGAAAATTAACCGTGGATCAATGAAAAAAAAAAAACACCGCTCTTTATTGGTTATCAGTGGTCGATATTTCCTTATTTTCAAACTCTGTCTAATTGGGTGATATGTCCTATTCTATTCATTTTTTTCAGTCGACACATCCACATAACACCATGACGAAATCAAGGGCTGTGTTCAGGGACGTGATCGTTCTAGGGGCCGGCTGGTCGGGTCTCTTGGCGTGTAAATGCATGTTAGAGGAAGGATTAACTGTTCTGGCACTAGAAAAGCGCTCTGACGTGGGCGGGCTGTGGTGCTACACTGCAGATTCAGATGTGATTACCGTCATGCTGGGCACGAAGGCCACCTCTTCTTCGTCCGTGACTGAGATGTCCGACTTTCCGATGCCCAAGGAGATTGGCCAATTTCCAAAGCACGAAGATGTACTCAAGTATTTGAAATCTTACTGTGATGCCTTTCATTTATGGCCGCATATTCGCCTTCATCATTGCGTAACGAAAGTGACGAAAGACGGCGAACTTTGGCGAGTGAAGTGCAAGAATGGCCGACGGTACACGAGCAAGTTTCTGATTGTCTGTACTGGAAGCGTTCAGAAGCCCAATCGCGATCTTCAACATTCGATACTCAAAGACTTTGTCGGAGAAATTCGCCATAGCTCCGAGCTAAAGTCATTTGTTCCCGGACATGCTAATAAACGCGTAATGCTGATTGGTGGAGGAGAAACGGCAAGTGACGTCGTGGAGGAATGGTATGACCACGTGTCACGCCTTATTTGGTGTATTCCACGAGGGATGCATTTCTTCCGGAAGTTCGCCAAAATTCTTCCTCATCGTCATCCTCAAGCTTTGGATAAAGCTTCCTCTAGAGTCATGAAGTTTATAGCTCCCTACACGAGGAGCAAACCAGGTTAGAGATAAAAGAATAAAGACGAATAGACCACTTTCATAAATGGCTTCCGGACTGATATTCTTTTGTCTAAATTTAAATAAGCCTTTTTAGCCTCGTTCTCCAATACAAAATTCAAAAGAATACATTATCTCAAGCGAGGCCAGAAGGGCTGATTTTTTTAAATAAAAGAATATCAATCTGGCAGCCATTTATGAAATATATATAGAATATAGAATAAATACGAATTATATGTATGATGACTTTCCTTTATCTTGTGAACAAGCTATTTAGTGAACATGGATCCGATCTTTAATGTCTTTTCAAGACGATTGCTTAATAGTTTATTGGCGTTGCATGATGAGGCTAGCGCAAATTGAGTAGAGGGGTGGAGGCGCCCTCCCCAAGGCTAGAAAGTCTGATGGGTGGTTTTTAAAAAATAGCGAACAGCAGATCGTACCCTATCGCCTCGCGCGACTCTAACGCTTCGTTCGTGCTTAGCAACCTCCCATTTGCATCCATAGCTCAATAGTGCACGCTGTGGTGTTTACCATTTGTTTTATAACATAATATAGATACATTGTAGCAGAAGTAGTTCTCTTCTATTTAATCAATCTTACTTGACCAGAAAAAACAAGCGAGCGAAAACTAGTCTTTGCAATTGCTTACATCAGTAGCCTACACCCATGGGCAAATAGTGGACACTGAATTGACCAATCAAGAGCGCGCGCTTTATTTTGGTTATGTTATGAAGGCAAGCAGTAAATCAGTAATTATTTTCGTTTCGACATAGCTTTACTCGCATTCTAAGGATGTCGACCCTACCCTAGTTCTGGATATGCAAAGCGTTTGTTTGATAAATAGTAATCTCATGTTCTTCATATTTTTCGTAGGTTTGTCATGGATCTGCAAATGGACCACGAACGGTTCTCTTCTTGCCTACCAAGGGCATGGTATTGCTGAGTGGAAAAATGATGCTAAATTCTTTCGCTTCTTCATCAACAAAAACGGCCACGTGTTGGATAAAGTGGATTACCAACGTTGCATTCCTAAGGGAGCCATCAACAGCATTAAAGGAAAGAAAATCACGTTTAATGACGGCACTGAAGAAGTTGTTGATGTCATCATCCAATGCACAGGGTACAAAGTAGAATTCCCCCTCCTTCCTGAAGAAATCCGTAACGTGCCTCTTGTGGATAACTACAAATTCATCTTTAACAACGAAGACCCAACATTGGCATTTGTTGGTTACGTTCGTCCTGTTGTCGGCTCGATCTCGGGAATAACGGAAATTCAGTCGCGTTTTGTCGGAAAAGTGTTCTCAGGAAAGTGTGGTCTTCCATCTAGAGAGCAACGTCACCAGGAAGCTATGAAGGACAAGGAATTCTGGGACAACTTCTTCAAAGACTCCTCCCGAAGACTGGCTACCTTGGTAGATGGGTACACCTATATTGATGACATCGGTAGCTTGTGCGGAATAAAGCCGGACTACTGGGGGCTGCTGTGGCGTAATCCTCATGGCTGGCTGTTGGCTTTATTCGCACCGTTCAGTGGATGCTCGTTTCGTCTTAATGAACCAGAAAGTGAAGCTGGAGCTTTGGAACATTTGAGGGAGCACATGAGTGACACCCTGAGTCCCACACACTTGCTGTTGATAGCGTTCCTACGCTTTATCTGGTTCGACTTTTGGCTCAATATTCTCAGCGAGATTAAATACAGGATTCAGTGCGCTGGCTGGTGGAAGAAGATTAGAGAATGCCGATTCGTGCGCACCTTAAATTGGTGTTGGAAGGCACCCAAGCGATGGCTGTTTGACGATGTAACCAGAGCTTGACAACGCTTTTAAACAGCACCTTGATAATAAGAGATTTTTCTGTGACAAAATTAGCTCCCTTGGAAACTTAGCCTGCACGAAACCGAAATCCATCTAAGCTCACTCACCAGCTACTGCTCGGGGAAAGCGACCGCACCCCTCCCTCGACGAGAGGAATTCTTCTTGGAAGGATCAAAGACTGGACAGGAGAAAAAGGCGGAAATAGAGCAAAGGATCAATAACCAATAAACCATGCACGTTTACTCTTACCAAGGATCAATCGGCTTGGAGAGAGAGCTTTGGATATAAAGTGAGGTGTTATAGGACGCGAATGGAAGGGAAGCAGGGAAGAATTGGCTACCTTTACCGGTGCGTTGCTCACAAGAAATACAGCAGTATGGCAAGAGTTAATCTTTGGTATTTTTACAAAGGATGGTCGACAGCGAACATCGCATGTACATGATTATTATGTACCAGTCTCCCTACCAATCTAAAAAAAATAGGCAGTCGATGACTGCATGTAACTTACTACACCTGTTATTACTTAGAATACCGTATTTAACCGCCCTGAAACGACACTAGAAATTATC